TCGTGCGGAACGCGGCGGCGGCGGCGGCGGCTTCGCTGCAGAGGCCGCCGCCCCCGCCGTGGCAGTCTTCTTCTTGACCTCGATGTCCTTAACCTTCTGCGCTTCTCTTTCGGCGGCCGCGGCGGCGGCCTGGGCCTTCTTCGCCTCCGCCTCCTGCCGCGCCGAAAGAAACAAGATAAAATAAGTAAAAAAAAAAAAAAATGAAGAGTACCTTCGACTGTGATCTCGAACGGGTTTTGTGATGTATATTCTAAAAAAAAGTTTATCCCAGATATCTGTGGACAGAGATGGGATAACTGTGCGATACAATGAAGAAAAACAGGGAAAAACAAAACCAGAGAAGACCTACATCTCAGGCCGTTTCTTAAGCACCGCTTTTCCGGGGATTTCTTGTCCTCTCTCACTGGGGGAGGGTGGCCTGCCGGGGAAACATAATTCAGATCCGAGGGACCTTCTTACGGCTCCTCGAGGCAGATTTTTGTCCCAGTGGGAAAAAAAGGCTGGTTCAAGTTTTTGTGGGTCACACCATGCTTCAGTTCACGTTTTCGGCTTGTCTGCAGCCAACAAGACACAGAGCGCCCTATTTTTATTGTTCGCCCACAGAGAGCTTGTGTGTGTATGACCGCACGCCATTGGCTGCAGTTTGTGGATGGCTCATGCAGGATTGCCGGGGCACCCACCGTAACCCCTCTACTCGTAGACAAAAAAATTGCAAAGCTCGATTGCTCCACACCCAAAGCTTGTAGAATACCAATACCAAGAAAGTCTCGACGAGGGCTTTCCGTAGACGTACGGGCTCTTTCCTTACCCACTTGGTGTGTCGAGCAATCGATTGAGGGAATCAGAAAGACGAAACATCCCGACCAAACGAAGCAACACATGGGGTCAAGAAAACACCCACACGCACAATCGCCATCACCACCAGCGCAGCGCAGACAAATTCTGGAGCGCAAAGGTACAATGACCATCTGAGAGATCTGTGCGAAAGAGCACTCGGAAGCTTAAAACCATCGTGACGAGAGAGGCTAAAAGAACCACCACCAGCCGCTGTTAATTGAACATCCAAGAGCACACATCCGGGATGACGAGAAGGGTGCGTGTGAGCGATGAGGACGAGGGATACACAGACACCCCCCCGAAGGCTTGTAACTTGTAACCATCGCGACGAGAGAGGTACCAAGCACCGCTACCAACCGCTGTGAGTCATACAGCTGTGAGTCAAACATCTGAAAGCACATACCGTACACCAAGACTGACGAGTTGAGGCATAGACAGGTCATTAGACTTGAGGGAAAGACAGAATATTTAGAGAGTTGAGGGATGGACAGATCACTACACCGACAAGCCCGTACCCAACGACGAGAGAATACAGAGAGAGAGCCTCAAAGCACCACCGTGCACCTCGCTCGCCTTTCTCTCCTTTGCCTCCAGCGCCACCTGCCGTGCCGTCTTCTTCTTCGGCTGCCTCTTCTTAACCCCGGCGGCCGCCCCCACCCCCGCCCTAGCCCCTGCCCCTGCCCCTGCCGCCGCAGCGGCGGGCGTCCCCGCCTTAGCCTTAGCTGCTGCCCCGTCTAGTCTCGCCGCCTCGGCCGCTGCCTTCATCGCCTATGGCACAAAAAAAAAAAGTTTTTTGGCTGGGAGGGTCCGTTCATTTCTCTATGATTTTTCACAGTACAGAGAGCGTGTCTACACTTGTGTGGGGTAGCGTCCATCGCCGGTGACACCAAGACCAAAAATAAATCCAAAAACGTTTTTATGTTCTTTTGGGGTCCGGATGTTTCTCTTTGATTTTTCATGATACAGGGTGCCGGAAGAGTCGGAGAGATGGCACCCCGTGTTGTTAGCGTTCCTTTACAGCGTTTTTCTCCGCAACTAGAAGGGCGCGAACACCAACCGATACCCCTCAGGAATGCCCTCGACGAGATGTTTTCCTAAAACTTCCCGTTTCGGCAGTGGTACTGCTGTACCCCCCCTGGTTATGGAGAAATACGCTAAAAAAAAACGCGAACACGGGGGTGACATCTCTCCGACATTTACGTTGTGTCTATATGCATACATTTTTGTGCGTTAGCCTTGATTGCCGATGACACGGAAACAGCAAACAAAAAAGAAAAAGAAAAAGAAAAGAGTACGTCCCATCCCTACCACGATCAACGGTCTACCGCCCCAGACAAACCATGAGTACGTCCCCATCCCTCCCACGATCAATGGTCTAACCGCTATTTAAGGCATGCAAAACGTAAGAGTATCCCCCCCCCCCCCCCCCACTACCGTACATGACACAAGAAAACACACCCCCTTGGCCGAATTTCAAAGCTCGATTTCTCAACAGCAGGAAGAGTCACAGCGCCGAAAACGGCGGCGTTGGAACCGTCTCGTCGAGAGCTGTTCGAAAACGTATTGTTTCATTTATGCATCCTCTTCGTCGTGGAGTAATCGAGCTTTGAAAATCGGTCCAGGGGGTGTGTTATCTTGTGTCATATACGGTATACCTCTCCTACACACCTGCTCTTTGGCAGCCTTGACCTCCAGCGCAGCGCGGGCCTTCTCTTTCTCAGCAGCGCTCCTCGCCTCCTGAGCTGCCTTCATCTGCGCCGCTGCTCTCGCCACCGCGTCCGCCTTCTCCTCGATGGACGCCTGCAGCGCTGCCTTCATCTCCGCCGCCAGGCCGGCGGCCGCCTCCGCCGCGGCCGACTTCTCGTCCAGAGCATTCCCCATCTGCGAGTTGTTGGACATCGCAAGGGAGGGAGGTAAAAGAAAAGAAAAGAATAAAAATCTTTGACATACTCCGCCGCCGCCGATTTATCGTCCACATCTTTTTGTCAACGAGGTGTTGAGTAAGAATGACAAAAAACTCTTCACAAACTCCGCCGCCGCCAATTTCTCGTCCAGAGCATTCCCCATCATTTTTCCAACGAATTGTTGTAGATGGCAAAGCGGGTAAGTGAGAATATAATACAAAAATCTTCACAAACTCCGCCGCCGCCGATTTATCGTCCAGAGCTTGCCCCGACTATTCTTACCACTTCTTGTACATTGCAATTGGGAGTATGTCGGTCAAGCTACCCGGCTGCATGAAGATCTCTCAACGAAGTACGCCATCGCCGATTTGTCGTCCAGAGCATTCCCCCATCTTTGTCTTTACGAGATGTTCTACATCCCAAGGGAGGCGATGAAGAGAAAATAAAAAGTCTCAACCGACTCCGCCGCTGTAATTATGCGTCCCACTTGACATTTTTTCGAAACCTCAACGACAACGACAACAGCAACAACAACAACAGCGAGAACAATAACGACAACGACTGCAACAACACCAAACAACGGCACCAACCACAACAACGCTTAACAACAACAACAACACCAATAACACAACAACGCCAACAACAACACCAATAACACAACAACAACAACAACAACAACAACAACAACAACAACCAACACCTGACCTTCATTAGTTCAGCCTGCAGGTCCGCTCGCTGCTGGTCGATAGCCGTCTCCGACGACGTCAGAGCGCTCTCCAGGTTGGCGATGCGCTCCCGCATGGAGGACCGCTCCGCCTCCATGCTCTTGATCTCGGCCGAGTAGTCGGCCCTGATGCCGTCGTTCTCCTCCGCGAGGACCCTGAGCCTTGCCTCGTAGTCTTGCACTCGCTCCTCGAGGGTGTCGGATGCCTCGGCTAACGCCTGCGGAAGGGGGGGGGGGGGGGGGGCAAAAACGGAAAAAAAATAATTTTCGGTTTTGGGGTTTTTATTAACGGGGTTTTTTGGGGTTGGGGGCAAAAGGGGGGGGGGGAAAAACCGAAAAAATTTTTTTTTTTTCTTTTTAAAAACGGGGGTTTTTTCC